CCGCCCCCCGCAGAGGCGGGAAAGGGAGTCTGATACGCGGCCAGAGCCGCCCTCCCCACCAGCAGACATTCCTCTGCAAAGGCAACACCGGGTGAGGCTCTCGAAATGGAGGCTCCGCAGCCCCAGGCGCCTGGCATCGTCCTTTGTTTCTTTCCTCTTCCTTTCTCATTTTATTTTTATAATTTCTATTATTATGGGCACAGCCACAGCTGCCCGCCGCCCCCCGCAGAGGCGGGAAAGGGAGTCTGATACGCGGCCAGAGCCGCTCCCTCCACCAGCAGACATTCCTCTGCAAAGGCAACACCGGGCGAGGCTCTCGAAATGGAGGCTCCGCAGCCCCAGGCGCCTGGCATCGTCCTTTGTTTCTTTCCTCTTCCTTTCTCATTTTATTTTTATAATTTCACTATTATTATTACATTTTAACAAACTTTATAGCCCATTGTATTTGTTCTCAAATAACTTTCCTCCTCCTTTTTGACACATCAATTACTCGGCTCGTCTCCCTCGGGGCGCGGGCGTAATTCAGTGCGATGCGCCGGGGCGCGAGGCGGGAGCCAACGAACGTGGCATTTGAACACCACCCTTCACGGCTCGCGAGGAGATTTATGCCTGACAAGGAGACAATAACTCTGTTTCCTGATAAGCCAAAGGGGTCCCTTCTGTGGCCCATACGCGGAGCAGCTTGCCCTTCCCAATAACTCTATTTACTAGAGTGAATATATTTTAATAATAAAATTGATATATATGTAAATTTATTTCCACCTCATTTCATCGAACCCTCCTAAAAAAGAGCCTTTGTAGACGGTTTTCCCATCTGGATGATAGATCTCCGGCCGTGGGCCCAGGCTGATTTCTGACTGTAATTCTGTCGCGATTCCCTCCCCGCCGCCCAGCCCGGTGGCTGGCGTGCTCTCTCCCTGCACTGCCCGATTCCCGCCCTGCGTCCGCCCAGGCTGGGGGGCTCGCTTCTGGGGGCCTCTCTCTTCCCGTGCCGCCCGATTCCCGCCCTGCGTCCGCCCAGGCTGGGGGGCTCGCTTCTGGGGGCCTCTCTTCCTCGGCCTTTATCGGGGCTGACATCACTTCCTGAATTAACCATGAACATGTTTAACTGAGAGCAGAGCCGGGGGAGTGGAGTCGCAGAGATGAGGCGGGAGGAGGGGACAGGCCCCTCGGTGGTGGGAGAGGAACATGGAGGTTCAATCCGCGGGACCGCCCTCGCTGAGGGCCAGGAAATTAACCGGCACCACAGACTGCAGCTCAGGAAGGGGCTTCCTGCCCGCCCCAATCCCAGGGTCTCCCCCTCCGCCGGTTGCTTGGGAAGAAACACCCGGTCGCCCTCGAGGGGGGTGGGCGGCGGGGAGAGGCCCTGAGCCGCGGGACCCGGGAGTGGGGGACAGACGGCCACTCACCTGTTGGGCTTGTGGCCCAGGCTGTCCAGCAGGCGCGCCTGGTCCAGGTCCCGCGGGAAGCCGTGCAGCACCCACCCTCGGTGCACGCAGTCGTGCTGGCTCAGGCGCTGGTTCAGCACCTTCAGGATGAGGCTGTCGGGGACTGAGAGAGGGACAGGGTCACTCTGCCGTCCGGTGCCTCCCCGGGCCCCCAGGAGCTCTCGGGGGGACCCGGGCCAGGGACTGCCCAACTGGACTCGCCCATGGACTGAACGGGCAGAGTCGGGTGTTGGTGGGCAAGACGGTGGGTGCCCTTCCCTGCCCCTCCACCTCCCAGTGACGGGAGAACGTGGCTGCCTGAGATGGTCCAGGGTGACCTGAACTTGACCTGTCCCTGACCTAGCCGTGCCCCTCGGCAGCCCTAGCCCCTAGCCCCCAGCCCCCAGCCTGTGGCCGTTTCCCCAGAGGATCCAGATTTGCAGCAAGAGACTCTGCCCAGACCCTCACCAGCATGCCCCCCCCAGGGCTCATGTCCCGCCCCCA